TATTTAAAAAAAGAATCAAGCAAATTTTACTTGATAAAGCTTTCTACTCTATAGAAGAGTTTTTAATGAGTGATAGTCTTTTTTAATTGTTTTAATGTATGGTTCAATTTTAATTTGTTAATTTGTATTTTAATTTGTTTTCATGTTTATACACTTCGTGTTTTTATTTGATGTTTTGAATGTTATTTATGTATGTAGGCAATTCTGTTTATACAAATATTCAATTGACTTATCCTATATCACTTTGTGATCCAAAGGATGAATAAATTATTATTATTATTATTATTATTATTATCAGTCCCATATACATTTTTTACTGTAGCATATTATTTCTGGTTCTTGTATTTTATTTATTTTTATTTATATATTTTAACTTGGCCGATTTATTTTAATATGTACTTGTTGTATTTTTGTTCATTGTTTTTGGGACTGTCATATATTTCATATGTGTATTGTTTTTATTTTTATTTATCTATTTTTGTAATGCTTGTCTTAGTTTCAAGATAGAGTACCTTGACGTGTTCTATGTCATGACAAATGATCTACAGAACAAATAAAGATTATTATTATTATTATTATTATATCCGTTGTTGCCAAATTCGAGCACATACTATTATTATTGAGACAGGGTGGTACTCAAACTTCTAAAGGGCTATAACTTTATTACTTTAATTTTACCACAAAAATGTTAAAGGAAAAAACATTTCTTTTGATCAGAACTACTCACTGTTAAAATAAATGACTCAACTTCGAAGTCACCCTGTATAACAATACAGCGAACCGAACCACGCGACGAACCGCGCCGTGCTAGTGTAGACGGTGAAAAAACGCCATCGCGAAGCTGATAAGTGTTACAGCTCGCCGTTCGGCCCGATCCAGACTCTGTCGGTTTTTCAGCGTAACATCAAAGGAAAGGCTCGCGACGAAAGTGCACATGTTTGGACAGGGATATCGGTGCGGCGAGCACGCGCTCATATCAGTAAATGGATAGAGCCCGTGAAGAAAAGATGGAAGGGACGGAGGAGAAAACTCTTTTGCTTATAGAGCATTACAGAACAGGGAAATTGTGGTGGGATGCAAAACATACCCTACATTACAATAAATTAAAAAAATGAGGTCTTTCACGGAACGACAAACATTAAAATTGGATCGGTTTGTAGTGATGCTCGTTGCAATGTTGTATGTCAAAATGCGCGCGCTGCAGTTCGTCGCGTGGTTCGGTTCGCGGTGTTGTTACATATCTGTACATAGCTTAACAATCGATTTAGGTTCTAGCGTATGATCGTATGAATAAGCGTGCCCGCGTCTAAACTCATTCCCATGGAGTTCTGCGTAGGTGAGAAGGTGTGCTTGTAAAAACGCATTTATGCAATCTTACGTGGTTCTCCGTAATGCTAGACCTAATTATTATATTCTGAAGGACTCATAAGGAAATGAAATGTCGTAGAGAGTTACCGCCGGATTTCCCCCAAGCCAGATTCCCTCACCAAGGAAGGACTGTTTTTCTGCAGTATTGTTGATTTTGCCCTCGTCAACATTATGTGCTAGTTTTAGCTAAGAAGAAGAGACTTATTGTACTTACATTTAATGACAGGCGCTTAAACTATAGTGCGGAGGTTGTGATGAGATTTGGCGTCAACCCGACCACTACGTGAGTACGTGTCAGTGTGCGAAGTGGGAAGAAAGGCAGTTTGTAGGACCTGAGATGGCAGCGAGACAGGCATGAGTTTCGGCAGAGGGAGCAACATGATTAGTTTATTTTCTTGAATTGTTCGCTATAAGTTGTAAATCGGCCAGGAGGCCTCTATATTAGTAAATAAAGTGATAGTGCAGTTAACGCCGTCTTCCTACCCATTAACCTGAGTCAGCTAGCTCGAACTATTTCAAAGGCCACCAAACCAGGGAGCTATATAAAAGAGATAGACATACTATCGTCATGTAGAGCCAGAGTACCTCTTTGGGTTTAAGCCTCCACCTCACTCCGACAACACCACAAGCCCACAACGAATGACGAGGCTTGATAACTTTGTCTTTACTCAACATGCTCTCTCCAATTCAGTCTACAGTCCAAGATGATTCCTAGATATTTTACTGATTGAGATAAAACTAGACTAGACCCAAAGAAGGTTGGCAAGACAAGCCCATCAAGCTTCATTCTCCTTGCGAATAGGATCAGCACGGTCTTTCCAGCGGTGACAGAAAGATTGACTTGCCTCTTCCACGAGACCGTTCCACAAAAACGATCTCTAATACCTATGCTTAAATCGTCCGCATCGACTTGCACATAAACACCCGTACTGCCGAGCCTAACGAGGAGATCGTTCACCACGGGGCACCACAATTGGGGTGATAGAATTCCGCCTTGCGGACAGCCCCTAGCTACACTGACGCTGCAGCATACGTCGTTAAGCATAGCTCTCCAGAGTGGACAGAACCCGATCAACCAGGATTGATTCAGCCCCGTGCCTAACCAAGGCATGTCTGACGGAGGCGGTTGTGGTGTAATTAAATGCATTTTAAATGTCTAAAAAGGTCACGAATGGCACTGCTCGCTGATCTAGAATCTTCTCCAGCCTACCGACCAGATCATGTAAGGCCAGATTAGTTGATTTCCCAGCCTGGTATGCGAAATGATATTACAATGATTGGCACACCTCACTAGCGGGCCATCCTTCAAAAATCTATCATTTATCCTTTCGAATGTCTTGAGCATGAAAGATGAAAGGGTAATCTGACCAAAATCTCTCGGGCTAGTACAACTAGCCCTGCTCATTTTACGAATAAACATTACTTTAGCCTTCCGCCAGCTTATAGGTGTGAAGCCAGTGGCCATACATGCCCGAAACACCTTCAAAAGGTAAGGTACAACCAAATTCCGCCCGTGGTGTAACATGGCTGGAAATACGCCGTCCAAACCCAGACTTTTGTAAGGAGCAAACGACTCGCTCGCCCAGTCCTCCCCTGACGGCCTGTGCAATGACATGTACTCTGTGATCGATTGCGCTACTGTGGAACCGGGAAAGTGCATATGCATCAGCAGCCTCAGAGTAATTTTCTCGGAAGTAGTATTATCTCCCAAGAGAGATTAGACAGGGATCCCAACCTTGCTTTGGTGACCTTGCACAGAATTCTGTGTTGCCTAGCTGAAGCAGTAATGTCGTCAATCTCCTTTTATATTCCTGCAACGCCTCTACCCACTGTGAAGAGCGTCTCCTCTGTCTAACTCTACTAACAAGTTTGTGCACAGTTCGTGTCATATTCTCTAGCTCCTTAGACCAGAAGGTTGCTTTGCTCTTGCCTTGAATTTTGAGTAAAGGGCAGTTTTCCTCGTACGAAGCTCTCAGGTACTTGCTTAGAGACTCCACAGCTGCTTCTATATCCGAGCCCCTACGAAGGGTGTTTCGAAGCACTCCAAGCTTACTTACTACCAAGATATGTCCTAAAGGACGTCCAATTAGTATGTCTAGGATTCGGAGCGTATTTATCTGGAATCTCCACATCAATCTTAGACAATATATGCCTATGATCCCATAGAGAGGGTGTTAGAAAGTCTTTCCAGACCCTAACCTCCTGAGCTATCATAAGCGTGCCCAGTGCTAAATCGATAACCTCTTCTTTGACATTGTTACTGAAAGTAGCCGTGCTAGCGACATTCAGAACCTCAAGGTTCGTTGTGCCTAGGAACTCCAAGAGCTATTCATCCCATCTATTAGTGTTCGAGCTGACCCACGTAGCGTGGTGTGCATTGCTGTCGCACCCAAACACTAGGTCACGTCCAGAATTCCTACAATACGCTACAAGATTCCCTAATTCCTTAGTCGGGAGAGGTTCCCTTGAATCATAAGGAAGCTTTACCGAGTCTACAACGAAATGCTGTCAGCGCCTTCCTTTTTATATCTAATTCTAACTAAAACTAAGTCCCTGAAGGTAAATTCAACCGGGTTTCCTGGATGAGAGCCACGTCATAGCGGCCTCCAGAGATATGCTGAATGAGAGCTCTTGAAGCTGATATGCAGCGCTATAAGTTAATTTGAATGGAACTGAGACTTACCATAGCCGTTCTGAGAGGCGCCTCCTGCACCTTCCACGAAAACTGGCCTATGTGCCCTTATTCGAGCATATGGTCGCCACCGTCATATTCGTTGCTATCGCCACCATCTCCATCCTCCCCGCTTCGAGTTCTCGGACCTGATTAAGGATGCCATCCTCGTCCAAGTCGCCGTCGTTGCCCTCTGAGGCACGTTCAACTGCCGCACATACCGGTATTTGAATTAAAAATCCGGACAAAACTTTTTTGCATTTCAAGTTACTTCAAAAGCTGTAAGTAGCTCTGTTATGGTTAATATTGCTACTAAGAGCAGCAGGTAAAGAAATAAAATGCTTATAGTTGGAAAACGTAAAAATATTTATTAAAAAAATATAAAAGATGTTATTAAGAAGATGACAACCAAAAATCATCTAAACAGTCTCCTATCTCTTGTGCAGAGCCTTCATCATCATCATTATCATTGTCACCAGACAAATAAGACTGGCCCATCGGTTCTTCAGGCAGGAACATTTCAACAGTTTCCTTGAGAAATGGTTTTGTAATTTTTCTGGGAGTACGTCTCGTGCCAGTTATCAGGGGATCCGAGCACAATAATAACCTATTTATTATATCAAGATTGCAAAAGTCTCTGCTGAACTTCCGAGCATAATTTTGGCGGTATAACCGAAAGTGTAGTATATTAAGTACGCCCCTGGTTCCCCAAAATTGCGCATGTACGATGAGTACTATCGCCGGGACACGTTTTTGCACATGTCGGGGTTCGGATTGTAACAGTTGTATCGGTGATCTATAATAAACCATTAGTATACTTCCGGGTATTATTGATACCAACTAAGACATAACATGGCGACGAGGGTTGTTAAAGAACTCGCCGGGTGAGGTTAAGTGTGTGTAGACTCCTCGTTTGTGTTGAAACCTCCAGTTGTTGCTGAACCAATCTGTGCAAAGAAAGATGGCAGTTGCAGTAGCGGGTCCCGTGCTCACATTCAATCCCAAGCAGAATGAGTGGACAGTTTTCTTCAAAAGGTTAGAGCAGTATTTTATAGCACACGGGGTCACTGAAGAAGCTGACAAGAGAGCTCATTTGCTGTATAGTTTGTCTGAGGAGGCGTATATTTTATTAGAAAATTTATGTATGCCGTAAAGGCCGGAAGAAACCCCATACCAAGACATAGTTCAGTTATTGTCTAACTACTATGGTAACTGCTGTTGTATGGGCCGAAAGCAAGAAATTTTATAGTGCATCCAAATCAGGAAATGAGACGGCACCAGAATGGAGTGTACGACTTAAAGGTTTAGCTCGCTATTGCAATTTTGGTCAGCAGCTTGAGTCTAAGCTAACGGACATTTTCGTTACGCAGTTCAATCCTGGGAAGGTGAGAACTGAATTATTCAGCCTAAACGAGAGCACCACCTTAAATAACGTTGTTGAAGTGGCCAAAATTATCGAAGCAACGCTCCTAATAAGAGACCCAGTTGGTGAAGTTAAAAGCGAGGTCTTAGAATCCGATGTTTTTCGAATTACACAAAATAATTCAAATATTGGTGCCACTGCCGGTCAACATCAAGATCCTCAACGGTATCATAGAGGGACAGCAGTACCTGCAGCGCAGCGGAACCAAGGAGGCACGCGCAGGCTGTTTCCGCTGCGTGAGGAACCACAACAGTAATGTATGCCCCTATAAGGAATATATCGGTAACTCTTGTCACGGCAGGGATCATCTCAGTGTGGTATGTAAAAAGAAAAAACAATCCTCACCTAAGCACGTTAATTATGTTTTTCCTAATAATGATATTGCTGAGGATTATACAGACCCAGTTATAAGTATTTCTACCTTAGGAAGCAACAATAATGTGCCACTATAATCAAATTCAAGCGGATAACCAAATGGAAATGGTATTTACCATTTTGGGTTGGTATTTACCGATCCGTTCAAGCGAGTGTAGTTATCAGTTTGGTTATAAGATCCGTGACGTCACGAATCAGCTGTTATATGTCATAGTTATCACCGCAAAATTGTAGTATTTACCCAACTCAAGAGTAGTTTTATATTTCTGGTTATTATTTGAAATGTGACAAGTTAGAATTTTGCCGGGGTTTGGATATTGTTATTGTACTTCAGCTTCATTTTTGAGAAAATTGATACAGGCTGACTTCAGTTTTACCATAAAGTGGAGCACCTTATTAGTTATACTCATTACGGTTGTTGGGGACACTTTAAATGTAGTTCCTATGCTTAACAAAGTATCCTGTGTAGCCATATACCACAAGAATATTAAAATATGGCCATATAAACTCACTAGATGATATCCACCTGTATACGGTTTTGCTAATTTCTTTTTTCATCATTTCTGCTGAATCAATAAATGTTTTCTTTGACATGCGGAAAAATTCAGAAAATTGAAAGTTATCATAGCTACAAAGCCCTGGTTCCATCAAAAAAAAAAACATTTCTCCCATGAATATTATGAAAGATTTCTTATTTAAACTTTCCATATGCAGTTGTAGACGAAAAATAACCGATTATTAAGTGGTAATAAAAATAATCAGATATTATATACGCGCTTTTCTAAAATAAACAACTTGCAACAAAACCGCGGTTAAAACCAACGCGTTCAAGCGATTCGTGTAACTGACGTCATCAACCCGTGTGTCATCTTGAACCATATTATAACCACGGCACATAACACAGAAATTTTGGTTATTCGCTTGGATTTGATTTATATATCGATATTTTAGTTGAGAATGTCATGTTGAAATTTGAACTTGACAGTGGATCAACTGTTAGTGTTTTGCCACTTCATGTTTATAAAACATATTTTGGTGCTCATGTCATGAAAAAAAAACAAAAGTTTCCTTGATTAATTTTTCTGGCAATAAGATCATGCCACATGGCACAATCAACTTAAATTTTAAATTTAATTTCAAGGAAAGCATCCTACGCTTTTTTGTTGTTGATGGTAACAATCCATTGCTCCTAGGTCGAGATTTTATTAGGAATTATAATATGGGATTTAGAGAAATTCATTATTTGAACAACGATGCTGTTGATGCTCTATGTAATGAGTTTCCTGGCGTTTTTGCAAACAATTTGGGAAGGTTCAACAAGTGTAAGATCTCCATAAATATTAAACTTGATGCAAATCCTATTTTCCATAAACCTAGACCGTTACCATTTGCAAAGGTAAAGTGGAGGAGGAATTAGATAAATTAGTTTCTAAGGCTATAATATCTCCAGTGGAGTTTTCAGAATGGGGTACCCCAATAGTACCAATTTTGAAGAAATATGGAGGAATAAGAATTTCTTGTGATTATAAGGTAACTATTAATTCAGCTATTCTAGTGGACAAATTTCCCTTGCCTAGAATTGACGACTTATTCACAAAACTGAAAAATGGAAAGCAATTTTCCAAAATTAATCTCTCATCGGCTTACAATCAAATAGAGCACGAGGACTCTTCAAAAAAATTTACGACGATTTCGACTCACAAAGGTTTATTCGAATTCAATAGATTGCCGTTTGGAATAAACTGCGCTTCAGCACAATTTCAAAAAATTATGGAGCAGCTGTTCAATAAAATGCCCCGTGTATGTATTTTTCTCGATGATAGTTTAGTTACAGGTATCGATAAAGAAGATCATATTAGAAATTTGAAAACGGTTTTACTTTGTCTTTCCGAATGTGGTCTCACTGTTAGAAAAGAAAAGTTTGTGTTTTTTGCTGATTCCATTTCATATTCAGGGTTTGTTATAGACGAGACAGGCCTACATAAAAGTTTAGAAAGAGTTAAGGCAATACGCGACATTTCTCCACCAGAAAATGTCACTCAACTTAAGTCTTTTTTAGGCAGTATCACTTATTATAATCGTTTCATCAGAAATCTACCAGATATACTTCACCCTTTATATAATTTTTTGAAAAAAGATGTAAGTTGGTCATGGGATAAAACATGTCAGGATTCATTTGAGTATATTAAACTTGCATTATGCTCTGACGATGTGTTGGTGCATTATAATCCTGACCTACCAGTTACTTTGACTATTGATAGCTCTGACTATGGAGTAGGAGCAATTTTATCTCATGTTTTTGAAAATGGTGTCGAAAAGCCAATTTGTTATGCGTCGAAAAACGAGTTGGCATACTCTATTTTGGATAAAGAAACTACCGCGATTGTTTGGAGTACTAAACGATTTTACCAATATTTGTGGGGTAGAAAATTTGCCTTGGTCACAGATAATAAGGCACTCATGTCAATTTTTGGACCTCAAACGGGTGTTCCAGTGATGGCAGCAAATACACTGCAGAGATATGCACATTTTCTGAGTGGCTTCAATTTTGATATCAAGCATGTGTCATCCATTCAAAATGTAGCTGACTTGCTAAGCAGAATGCCGATTGAAGACGACATGTCTGTGCAACATATCGACTTCCCCATTCATTTAAATTATCTCACTAATACCGATTCTAGTATACCAGTCGATGTTAACAAGGGCAGAGAACTTACATCCTCAGATTCAGTACTTTCTGACGTACTAAATTTTGTTAAAAAGAGGTGGCCTGCAAGTCATAAAACTAATGAATTGATACCTTATTTTAGTAGGAAAAATGAAATCAATGTTGTAGACGATGTACTGCTTTGGGAACATCGAGTTATCATACCATTTCAGTTACGAGAGGTGATATTGAAAGAGTTGCATGCTACCCATTTGGGAATTGTTAAAATGAAGTATCTTGCGAGATCTTACTTTTGGTGGCCGTCCTTGAATGATTATATTGAAAGTGTTAGTAAGCAGTGCAACACATGTCAACGCTTGCAATCATCGCCTGCCAAGGCACCGTTACAATGTTGGCAAATACCCGAGGGCATTTGGTCGCCGATACATATAGATTTTTTTGAACCGAAGAAAAACAATTTCTTTTTGATTGTCGTTGATGCTTTTTCCAAATGGCTTGAAGTATTTTCGATGGCATCTGTGACCACTAACAGGACTATTACAAAGCTGCGAGAACTTTTTTCTAGATTTGGATTACCTAAGACTATTGCAAGTGATAATGGTCCCCAGTTAGTGTCAGAAGAATTCAAACAATTTGCAAATGTTAATGGTATTAAACTAATAACTATTCCGCCTTATGAACCTCATTGTAATGGTGCAGCTGAGAATAGCGTAAAAACTGTAAAAAAAATTTTTAAAAAGGTTTGTGATCAAAAGAACTGTAATTTAGTATTAGCTCAATTCCTTATGACATATAGGAATACTGTTCACTGTTCTACTGGTTATTCTCCTGCTAAAGTATTTTTAGGTCGTTCGTTGAGAACTCGGTTTGACATGCTTAGACCAAGCTCAGTCCAAGACAATGAAAAAGTTAAACTAGAAAATGTTTACCAAAACATACAACGTTCCCAACGAAGAAACGCAAAATACTTCAGAGGAAATAGGAAAGTATGTTTTAATATTGACCAAATTGTGTTGGTTAAAGATTATCGCGATAAACAAGTAACTTGGTGTAAAGGACAAGTTGTTAAAATTTTAGGGAAACACGTTTACGTTGTTCGACCATTAGATTCAAATTTTCTTTGGAAAAGACATACTAATCAGATCAGAGAACTAAATGATGATTATTCGTTGGTTTACCCACCCTGCGTGGAGCTACCGCACACTGTAAACGTTTTTTCCAATAGTGATGACGCCAGCAATACTTCTGCCGGCAGTTCGGTTGATGATGTGTTTGTGGATGGATATTCTATTAATGTGCGAGAACCCATCTACGTTTTGTTTCTGATTTTAGATTTGACAATTTGTGTTTAACTTCTTTTCGTTGTTCTTCTGAATAATTTTTAGAATTCTACAAAAAAGATTCAGCATAGTCCAATTTTTTTTTAATGTCGTTATTGGGATACACTTGCATAATGTCGTAAAATTTTTTTCGAGTAATGATCTTGACTCCAGGGGGCCCTATAAAGAAAGAGAAGAAATGGCTTAAGTGAACGTTCATCTTTTATTTGGCGATTATACTGAAATTTGAATGATGGAAGTATTTTCTGTCGATATGATTAGCCAAGATCTAGTTATACTCGTATAATATGAGACCAAAATCATAACCCAGAAATTCATCAAAACCATTCGAGTTTAATTATTATCAA